TGGTGACGTCACCCGCAAGCCTCGATGGGATGCTTGCGATTCAGGTTGTGCTTGTTTCTTCATCGATTTTAAATGTAGAAAAGGTGATTCCTGGTAATGAAAAAAATCTGAATGACTGTTCTTCTTCGACTATTTAGGAGCACTTGGATAGCTTATTTGCTAATTCCTATCCAGAAACTAGCTTCTGCACACAGTGGCTTTACACTCGGTAAACTCCGAGCAGTCCGAGCGCGCTCGAAACATTAAGATAGCGAAAATAGAATTCAACTTCTGGAATCTCTTTCTCAGTGAAAATGTTCTATCTTTGATTGTTGAGTACCCGAATCAATACATAGAAATTGTAAAACCGAAATTCATCAGATGGTTCAATTTTTTTATCAATGATTTAGTATATGTATCTCTGTGATACAGCGTGACTAATGATGTTATAAAACTCGCGATGGAAGGTTAAAATAAATTAATATTTAACCAATAAAATATTAAAAGTTAAAATTTTCCATTTTTAAAGTAAACAAAACACCACACCCACTCAATACTTGAAAAATATCGAAATAGAATTCTATTTTCTATTTTAAATACCCGCCAGATGGAGAGGGAACGGTAACACTGTACCCATTTGCGCTACAACAACTGCATTCGTTTCGATGAGGGTCATACTCCGGTCTGACTTCGGCTCGTCCGACGTTCCCGCCCGAAGGCGACTTCGGGTGGGTAGAGCAAATGAACATTAGCACAAATGGGGTGATCCCGACCATTTGCGGATTAGCACAAATGCACAGTAGCACAAATGGAGCCATCTCGATCCGTCGACACCGGCATTCTGGCTTTCGGGCCCACTCGGTTTAACGAACGTTTACGGATAAGGTATACGCAACGTTCTGGTTCTGATGATAAACCGTCAAGTGCTAATGTCAAAGATACATGAGGCGATTTTCAGCCTGGAATGATTATTATTTGGTTATAACCAACGCATTTCCGCCGTCGCGGTTTTAACCAAAGTAGGGGAAGTTGTGATGTCACATATCAGCTGATTTGCTTTTGGTATTTACCACTTATAACCGATTATAACCCAGCTTTGGACTTGGGTTAATCTTTTGGTTACAGCTTTGTGATGTTATTGTTATTATTTTGGGAATTGGTATTGGTGTTTTGTGATTTTGCAGTTGTGTTGTGGCCTGGCACAATGGAAGAAGTATACACTCACTTACTCACTGCAACTCACCATGTTTAGATCATCCCCAAAGAAAATCTGTTTGATAAACGAGACTATAACGAGAGATTCTGCTCCATTTTTGGTACCTTAACAACAAACCATTGTTGAAACGAAAAAACAAATAAGAATAATAAACATAACCCTACACTTCTATAACCAAATCATTTCAGCGGTCAGTTCCTTGGGTTATGATTCTTGAGTGGTGGGGGTCTATGACGTCACACTTGGCTGTCAAAGTTGTCAACCAAAAGAATAACCACGGTATTTACCGATAAATAATCATTCCAGGCTGAAAATCGCCTAAGATCGCTTTCAAAATACGAATTAATGAAACATCCGGATTATTGGAACCTTTCGAAAGTTAACGTTTTGTGTACTCTATTTGGCGCCATGATGCTTCCTACCGAGCTTTCCTCCCTAAAGCCTAGTACTCATAACTGCGAAATTCGCATTTTTTTGACATTGCTTCGACAATTTGACGTTTGATACACGCATAAAACGTCAAATTGTCAACGCAATGTCAAAAAAATGCGAATTTCGCAGTTATGAGTACTAGGCTTTAGGCGTATTTTAGCGAGAGTTTTAACCCAGTAGTATGTTGTATTTACTTGGGATACTACATTTTAGCGATCATGGCTGACATACTATGACGTCACAACATAAAACTCGGCTGTGTAAACATGGTAACCATCCTACGAAGGATAGTTACTGGTTGTAGTATGTCAGTGCATCTTTTTCTAATACGCGAAAATGACTAAAATAAGCATATGGGCAAAACAGCTGACTACGATTACCGACACAGGTTCTTTCTATTATAAATAGAGGATTGTTTTTCCCCATTTTTCCATGGTTTTCTGTGTTAGAGGTTTTTTGCACAAAAAAAATCTTCACTTGTGCACAAAAATGTAATTTTTTTTTTTTTTTTGTCATGGGGTCCCCATAAAATAGGCTACTTGCATGGAAAATTAAATTGATTATTGTTTATTGCAAACTGTAGGAAATCGAAAAAAAATCGTTACTTTTTTTTTATTTCGCCCAAAAATGATTATTCCGGAAGTTATACAAATATTAAGTTTTTTATATATAGATATACGAGCATGTGCGACGTCACAACTCACAACGTATTATACCTAAGTTATGACGTCGGAAAGACATTTCAAAGCGTTGTATCTCCGTCAATTTTTGACTAACAAGAAAAAGAAAAAACACTCTGTTGACTTATTTTTCATGGACTATCGAAATCAGCAATAAAAAAATTTGATGCAAGGGGCCTATTCAAAAATACCACAATCTATCGAAAATATTCGAAAATCTTCGAAAATCTTCACTGGACTAATAATATTGAAACTCGAAAACGCAAAATTTTGTAAAATTCAACAAACCCAAATAAACAACAATCATAGCGCCCTCTTTTAGACCCTTGTCAAATACACTCCAGCTGTTATTTGGGTAACTATGACGTCATGAATCGTAGTATGTGTAGTATGATGTTGACTGGTCGCTAAAATACGCCTCTTGTCACCAAACAAACGCATTAGTTCTTTTCACGTGGCTCCCGTTTAACTAACCGGGTTACAAAACGGTTAGAGAAATTACATACCGTTTTCTAACCCGGTTACAAAGTGACGTGATGGGTACCTACCACTCGAATTTGAGCGGTACGTTGCGGTTTGTTAAACCGGAGCCACGTGAAAAGGGTTATCGTTTTCGGTGAAATAAGGGGATTCACCAATGAACTATAACCAAAAACTGGAATGCTAACACTTTAGGCGATTTTCAGCCTGGAATGATTATTATGTTATAACCAATGCATTTCCGCCGTCGCGGTTTTAACCAAAGTAGGGGAAGTTGTGATGTCACATATCAGCTGATTTGCTTTTGGTATTTACCACTTATAACCGATTATAACCCAGCTTTGGACTTGGGTTAATCTTTTGGTTACAGCTTTTTGATGTTATTGTTATTATTTTGGGAATTGGTATTGGTGTTTTGTGATTTTGCAGTTGTGTTGTGGCTTGGCACAATGGAAGAAGTATACGCTCACTCACTCACTGTAATTCACCATGTTTAGATCGAGGTTTAGATCATCCCCAAAGAAAATCTGTTCGATCGATAAACGAGACTAACGAGAGATTCCGCTCCATTTTTTGTACCTAAACAACAAACCATTGTTGAAACGAAAAAACAAATAGGAATAATAAACATAATCCTACACTGCTATAACCAAATCATTTCAGCGATCAGTTCCTTGGGTTATGATTCTTGAGTGGTGGGGGGCTGTGACGTCACACTTGGCTGTCAAAGTTGTCAACAAAAAGAATAACCACGGTATTTACCGATAAATAATCATTCCAGGCTGAAAATCGCCTATAAGGACGAACTTGAAGCCTAGTGCGGCTGCTGCGGAGGGGATTCCTGTTTTTGTCGCACTCATTATGCTAAATGGCGAAAATTGCTTCCAACACGTATTCCAATTGATGAAACCTGTGAAGGGAAATATGACAAAACTTTCGAAAACGTCATATGTCAGCGAGCAACAGAAAAAAACAACATTCCCCCTTGTGGCATCTGTCTTTCATGGCTTCATTTTTTTGGCAGATATGGCAATGTGTGCGCATTCCAGTTTTTAGCTATAGTTCATTGGGATTCACCCAAGAATCGTAAACTTTACAGGATTGCTCAATCCCATAAGACAAACGTTCATAAAAACATCGAAGATGGCGGTATGCGAATGACGTCACGCAGTCCTTGATCGGTTTGTGTTTTTTATGACAGTACACTATCCTTGCATTTTCAAACGTGAAAAATTGTTATTTTGAGGTTATTTCTTTTGAAAACTGTATTTTGTAATTAATTTATTAATTTTAAAATTAGCAGACTTCAAAAGCTTGTGTCCTTGAGGCTTGAGTAGTTGGCTAATTAGAAAGACGAGTTTGTTTGCTTTTTCTTTATCAATTAGCCAAACATATTGCCAAAAAGTCAAAAAAACGAAAGGCTGGAGTCAAGCTGGCCCCCGGATTCGTTAAGATGTTTTTTTTGTGTATGAAAATCAGTACAATTCGCATAAATACTGGCACAATTGAGCACAAAACGGGCACAATTGACTACAGTTGAGAAACAGTAGAAAACCAAATGTGGGGTGCCAACTTGAGCGAGCCGGTTTAATTTTTGCATTTCAATATCAAAATATAAGCGAAACGGGGTTGCAATAGTGTGTTTTATTTTTTACTGCCCCTACTACTTCTCAATTATTATTCAGTATAGTCAACCATCCAAGGACCTTTTTTTTCAGTTATACATGTAAACCCCATACTTTGTGAGTGGCTTGCTTACATCAAGTCCTACAACTTTTCCTCTACGACTTTTCTCGGAAATGGCACATATGCGCGCAGGCGACTCGCAAACATTTTAGGGGTATCGGACTCCCCCAATTTGCCATTATTTTTGTCGGCCAAGTTGATTTCCGTGATTTAGAAATAAAAATCAAGCATTATTCGTAAAATTAGATTTACATGTATCAAGAAACATAACCACGTCAGATCGACATTTTGGGGGTATGGGACTCCCCCAATTTGCCATTATTTTTGTCGGCCAAGTTGATTTCCGTGATTTAGACATAAAAATCAAACAGTATTCGTAAAATTAGATTTACCTACATGTATCAGGAAACATAGCTACGTCAGATCGACATGTTTGCGAGTCGCCTGCGCGCATACGTGCCATTTCCGAGAAAAGTCGTAGAGGAAAAGTTGTAGGACTTGATGTAAGCAAGCCACTCACAAAGTATGGGGTTTACATGTATAACTGAGAAAAAAGGTCCTTGGATGGTTGACTATTAGTTTAATAGGTACTAGAACGATTTAATATGGACATTCAAAGTAAGCTTATTTCACAAAGCCAAATAGTGATACCTAATTTAGATTCTCATAATCATATTCCAGAAAAACACTGCAAGTTTCCCATATTTTCCATGCGTTTTCATAGTAAACGCGCCAGTAAAGGAATTTATTTACATATTTATTTATTCACAAACACTAATTTTTATTAGTAATTACATGCAAAGGAAACTTACAACTAAGTAGATATTTGATTTACAAAAAAAAAGCAATACAAATGCTTGACTAGGAAATACTAACTAGCAATACACACAAATAAAAGAGCGATGTCCTGATACAACAAATCCAGTATTATAAAACCACTAAAACCAGAAAATGCTTGGGGTTTTCGCGAGTATTTTCAGCCACGAGTCTTTTATGCTTACACATTGAATGAAACTTTAAATTTACACTTATAACACTAGCAAAACACTAGATAAATCCGAATTTACGATAAAATAATTGTCAGCACAAACTGAACATCATTTGTATCAGCGGCCATCTTGAAAATCCGGCATGCACGTGACGTCACAGCAATTGTGAACAAATTTAGCCGATTGAGCAATCATTCTTGGGTATCCATCACGTCACTTTGTAACCGGGTTAGAAAACGGTATGTCGTTTCTCTAACCGTTTTGTAACCCGGTTGGTTAGTTAAACCGGAGCCACGTGAAAAGAACTTTATGCCTTGGTATCCTATTTCATTTTTATTTTCAATAAAATAGGTATAGATTTGTTATTACCTATTGCTACGTTACCTAATTTACTTTTGATAACATTGGGAATACGTATTTACTTATCTATAAACAAATACGTACTTATACATATAGACGTGTTTCAAATATTTACTCAATAATCGTAATCTCGAAAAAAATATTAGCCTAATTATTATTCAAATAAACACTCCTATCACGTGACATTTAATCGCTGACATGGACCAATCAGCGAACGCCAAAACAGAAATGTTGATAGTCAACTGTCAAAAAAATTTAGTCAGTCCAGAGAAATACATCTATGAGAAATGAAATGAGGTGAAGTGCTGTTGAAAGTTCACAAAAATTCGCGATAAAAGTGCCAGTAGTTGAAATTATAATTAATTTGCTCGTAATTACAGTTCAGTACATACGTAAAAATGGACTCGTTGCCAGTTACATTAATAGTTAAAGCTCCAAATCAACAAATTGAAGATCAGAAGATTAGGTGTGAAACATCTTGGTCTATAAATAGATTGAAACAGCACTTATCTGAAGTGTATCCTAGCAAACCAGTAAGTAAATAATACAAACTATTTTTATTGTTCATGTGTCGGTATAGTGTACACTCGGTATTGTTACATATCAATATGAAAGGGCGTAGGGCGTAGAGGCACTATACCTACCTTTCAAGTAGATGCCTAATTCAATTCAATTGAAGCAATGATTATCTAATTAAGTACCCACACAAAATATATTATCATGTCACAAGTCTGAAATTTGCTTGTTCCATTCTCTGCTTTATTAGTGATCTGCTCTCTGTCTGGCTACTATAAACTAAGCCTAAAAAATATTTCCATAAAATGTGTGTCTACCTATTTCTTCCATATTTCTTCAGTGTCATTTGGTCCTACATTAACTGAGACTCACTGTCCCTGAACTCAGATCTAGATTTATCTTTATATGCCATCCTGAAAATATATGTTTGACCTTGTTTGACCAAGTGTTTGACTTGTGCGTAGCTATATAGCTCAATTTAATGATTTCATATGTTATGTTTAGTTAAACAACAAAAAATTATGATTGAGCTGAGCGTAACTAAACAATTATTATTTTGAATGTGTAAATTATTTTTCAAGGAGGCTCACGAACAAAAATATGAAATGTTATCTTTTAAAATACTGAAGTGAATGCTTATGTACCGAGTAATGTACTTAGAACTTATCTGTGTTTTAAAAACTAGTCTACAAATCCTATGGTGTATTTTTTCCCAAGACGGATTTTGACATCAAAAACTTTGAAACATAAACAATATTGCTTGGCCCTGAATGGTCGCAAAATGAGGTGTCCCTGCAGGTTGACATCAGTTTTACAATGCATGTCGTGCCAATGGCAACTTGCGACCAATAAGCGGCATTGTTTATGTTTCAATGTTGACAATATCAAAATCTATCTCGGGAAAAAATAAACTGTAGAGCTTCATAAAAAGGCACAACTTCACCTACATTTAAGACCGGTTTTGTGGAATTTTATTGTATTGGAGTAAACAAGCTCTAGAGATATCTGAAATACAATGTCGTCTATAATAAATATTTCATAGTTAGTTTATGATAAAAGATAAAATATCATTCAGTACGATACATTTTTACTTGCATTTTTAATACCAGTTAAAATTACCTTATCACATTTGACAACTTGAAACACAATTGATACTTAAAAAAAAATCCACGTCATTGCACCATAAGTAGTGCACGATAAGGTTTTTATTATCTACTTTTCATTTTCAGCCACACCATGAACAAAAACTGATATATTCCGGCCAGTTATTGAACGACTCTGTAATACTAAAAGACGTGTTGAGGCAATACGAAGGTCAGGATACACACACTGTGCACCTAGTTTGTACGCCATTACATACAAGGATGAATACAAGACCTAGACAGACCACAGCTGATAGTAGAAGTCCTGGAAATAGCAACACAAATTCGCCAAGTTCTAGCAGTAGTGCCAGTAGGAGAGATGCAACACAACCTCAACATCAGGAGGTACCCCAAAACAGAGTCGAGCCAGACAATCATAGAGTTCCTACAAATTTTCCAAATGCCAGATTTCCAGATAATAGTTTTCCTTGGACAAATTACAACGGTCAGATGCCCCAAATGGATACCAACGCTTTGAATCAGTATCAGTTGCAAATGGCTTGGATGCAGCAAGCTTATATGCAGTACATGACGCAATATATGCAATTGTAAGTAGAACATTTTTATAGTTAGGTTTATGTTCAATGCGACTTGATTTATTCTGGATGCTCACGATTTAAAAAAATGGGGGGAGGGAGAAATTTCGGTTCTCTGTGAAGGCTTCTAAATACATTTATGAATTCCAAAGTTTACATGAAACCAAGCATTAGACTGAAGCGTGTTAGAGTTGAGAAACAGCCCAAAATTCTTGGGCATAGTTTGGGTTAGTTAGGTAATTTCCTGGACCTGACAGGACTTGCCTTTTTTTCCCAGAAGGTGTGCAACATTTTTCGAACTATTCACCTTATCCGAGATCTTATCACTCAGTTATCAATCACTTGTTTTTCAGCAATTTAAACATATTTTTGAGTTATTCTTGCTGCAACCTAACTATTGCCAATAGATTGGTCCTTTCTTTGGCCAAATTTTGCATATTGCACCTTTTTTGATAATTTGTTATTGCAAAAGACTAGAACATTCAGATAAACATTATCATGTAAATATTTTTTTGTAATTTATTTACAAAAGCTCTCTGTTTCAGTTTAATAATATGATAAGAATATGTCTGGAGACAAGTACTATCTTAATACCTAGGTGTACCGTTGTTTTTGAATGTCACTTAAATTTTAATTACAGTATTTTCAACTTGCTACCTTACGATAAGCAAAACACCAATGTTAGTCTGTATTGAATTTCATGTCCCGAGTGATATTGCTAGGACCTAGGATCTTCATCAGTATGATTGTTATTAGTAAACTTTGAACGAACACACTAACAGAATTAAATTATTTATTATTCAGACCCTGGTATGTTTGTTAGGATTTTGAACTCGATTTTGAATGAAATTAAGCACCACAAAATTTAAATTTTGAAACAGTGAGCAGCTCCGTTTTTTTTTATTGTATAATTACTCGATGAATTATAAACGATTATGAAGCACTTTTTATTAAACTTTGTAGAGGCATATTAAACTATCTTATTTATAATTGGATACTATGAATTTATCGTTTGGAATTTATACTGAAAGAATATGCTCTAATTTAACAAAAATAACTAGAGACAGATGGGAAACTTTAAACATTATTAGCAAACACTGATGTTACTGAAATCTTGATGAGAACGTTATACTTTTGGGGTTGGATGCTGTTTGTATGTTGAATGATCAATGGAACAAAGAGAAATTTGAATTTGGTGAAATTTTTCTTTAAATTAAAATTCAGTGCAAAGCGCTTTAGGCCTTAGGCCATCATCAGTGCCACCTGAAAGTAAGGAAAAAAAGGAAAAACTTTGTAGTTTTTAGAAAATTGATGAATTCAATTTGATTCACAAAATACAAACTTCTTTTTGTTTTATCGAACCCTATACTTTGTATCAACCAGTTGCGGAATAAGAAGTTGATTGAGCAAATAGGCATATTATTATATTCCATATTATATTTATACAGAACAACCACTAAAAATAAATAAAAAACCTTATCCTGACTTATAACTCTGCATTTATTCAACAGACGATTTTACGTTTGCTACAACAATCTCTATTTGTAATGGTTTCTAAAGTCACAAAACTGACCATCATCATTGAAAAGTGCAGCAATCTGGGAGCACAGAACATCTTTTTTTGAATGTAATCTTGGAAAAAATTGATAGGTAGGATCTTTTTTTTGAGTTACAAGAATGTTGTTGTATGCTGACCTCAGGGCTTCATTTTCCACAAAGGAAAAAAATCAGGTTAGCCAACAAGAAGCTAGTGGATTAGGTCTTCAGAACTCAGGGTGAAAAAAGAAAAACTTGATAGTGATTGAGTACACTTTCCATAAGTGCAGAAAAAACTTTAGACTATTTACAAAGAAAATTTGTGGAAATTAAAGTCAAAGGAAAAATTGAAAAAGTTGGGGTTTGTGCAGGATTTGAACCATCGTCAAATCTTTTTGGGCAAAACGATATAATTTCTAGACCAATTGGTTAGATTTTTATACCTACAGATGACTATTTTTTCTTAGCAGGCAGCATTCCAGTACTAAATTCTAAAACCAGGTTAGGATTTTAAAACGGAACTCCCACGGAATCTAAACTTAATCCTCAATAATTATGGTTTTTCTTTCCAGTGCTTCTGGTCAAACGCTAGCTACTCCAACTCAAAACCCTCACCTAATTGCTAATGCAGCTCCACCAAACGCCCAACCAAATGAACCACCCCAAGCCGCCCCCCAACCAAACGCAGTGCCCCAAAACCTACAGGAAAATGAAGAAAGAGACTGGCTCGATGTATTTTACATGCTCAGCAGAGCAATGGTACTATTCAGTGTGGTATACTTTTATTCCAGTCCCATACGATTTGTTTTTGTCTTACTTTTGGGAATCGCTCTGTATTTATATCAAGCAGGGTTTTTCAGGAATATAAATATCAATAATAATAACATGAATGGTACTCCAGAAGGTGATCCACAAGAGGAGCAAGCTCCCACCAGGTTTACGGTAGCTTGGACCTTTATTACGACATTTTTTGCGTCCTTGATACCGGAAATACCAAATATAAATGCGTGAGATCAGGCGGAATTGTGAAAATTATTTATTGCATTTAAATGTGGACTTTTTTCTATGAAGAATGTTAAAAAATAGTACCTGATGTAAAAACTACAGGAATAGGTATTTCTATTAGGTCTTTTAAAGGTCTTGAACTAATCAAAAATTTGATTTAATTGGTTTTTTTTCTATGGGTGGGTAATCGAACTTCTATGTTATTTATTTATGTTTTACTATTGTGATCTATTTGAAATAAAAATAAAAGATATAACCTACTGGTAATTTGATTGTTATCTTGACTAGGAATGTCGAATGTATGTATTTGGATTGACCTGCTGAAAACTGAAAGGACCACGCACGGATCTTATGAGAAAAAATAAATTTCAGGATTGTCATGAAATTGAAATATGTTATGCTTCTCGACCTGAACGTAAGTTCTCGTAGGCCCAAAAAGATCCTATGATTAGTTTCGGTGATACAGGGCCGGGTTAACATAAAAATTTTGACAAAAAATAGACATTTCAAAATATGTTGAGTTTAGGCAATGAGATATTCTAGGTTAAAAACAGGTAAAAAAAGTCGAGATAATGTCATCCGAAGCTTTTTAGGTTGAAAATTTGTTGAAAAATGCCAAAAATATGTCATTTTTGGTTATGAATTAAATTAATGACCAGGAGATTCTGGAGATTTTTCTTATATTATTTTTTTTTATCGGTTCTGTAGCTCCGAAACTAATCATAGGATTTTTTTGGGCCTACGAGAACTTACGTTCAGGAGGTCGAGAAGCATAACATATTTCAATTTCATAACAATCGTGAAATTTATTTTTTCTCATAAGATCCGTGCGTGGTCCTTTGAATCCATTGTTGGAAAAAGTAAAATTAATGCTCACTATACTCAATAACACTAGTTTCATGTTTCACTACGCTGTAGCTTCATCAGAGTATCATCTTCCTTTCTGGCCTATAAATATTACATATACGTATTCGGATGGCCATTATAAACTCCTGATTTCCAATTTTTCACATTGTATCTGATTTGCTTTTATTGTTCTGTTTCTTCTTAAGATGTTTAGTTTACTAAGCTGAATTTGAAGTTTTGAAAGCAATATTGGTAAATTTTTCTAGTTTATTTAAGTAAGAACTAAGTTTTACTTGCTAAATATTTTTAACTTTTAAAACATTTTTCTGAATTGTTTAAATTATGTAGGTGCTAGTAGTTAATTTACGTATACATATACAGTAATCAAACCATAGTCTGATGAAGCTACAGTGCAACCAAACATGTTACTTATATTAAATGTAGTGAATATCTATACAAATTATTTTGCAGTTTTCATCCATGTATGTTAATCACTGACTGAAAATTTCTTTCTAATTAACACCAATGTATTATCTAATAATTTCAGTCTGTTTATTGTACATTATTATACATAAAACTACAATTGATTTAAATAATTTTATTATTGCTAGTAGAGATCTGTTTATAAAAGAAAATAATAATAATGAAGCTTTTACTGTAAGCAGTTACCTGTATATACTTATTGTATTTGTATTATTAGCTTTAAATGATGAAATGTGATTTAGATACATTATTAATATTAATAAAAGTAATCTCTGTATATTCTGGAAATTAAAAGGTATTTCTATTTATTATTTGTTTTAATTTCAGGTTGCAACTACTGTCATTCTTATCTGTTTTGATAAACTTTGAATTTTACTTCATCATTTTCAATGTCCCCCCAATGCATCCTTGCAAAGAACTGTGCATTGCATTTTTCACTATGCAATAGGCAATGCATCGAGCAATGCATAGTGACCTGACCTGGCCGACAACTGTTCTAAGGTCTCTTCTGTTCATGTTAAGAAGTTGTCCAAGCTCTGTGCACTGGATAAGCGTCGTAGTTCCTTGTTTTGCAAGAAAATCTTTGTTTTTGTTGCCATCTCTGCCTTGATTTTTTTTTTCACATCCATTTTGAGTTTATACGAAGTCAATCCGAATAACATAAAAACTGTATAAATTAGAATTAAAATTCTTCATTCCTGGGAATTCTTAGGCTGTTGCACGCATATGCTTAATTTCATAAGAAAATGATTGACTTTGTATAAATTATACTTGAGGATCTTTTCGCCTTCCCAAATCAGCTGCGATATAATAGCTAATAGTGCTTTCACGAGCCGCTCAACTATCTGACAGGATGTAGATGTGGTGAAGCCTCTATTCTAAGGTACTCTTGGGCACAGGTATTTGTAATAAGCAGTTTAGCGTGAAATATTGTCGGCGTTATTCCCACTGCTACGCAGAGTTTGTAGTTTGATTGAGTAAATCCCAAGCCTGCCCCCTTAACTTTGATCCATCTGTGCCATAGTAACGCCTTGTCCTCTTGCGTCAGTCTTAGACTCTTCCATCTGTTGCTGCCATTCGATCTCCTGGTTTACTTACTTTGGCACGTAAGTGGCAACGCAGATCTACGCATTTAGGTTTTTCTGTCTGGAATAGTCCGTCTATTTTTTCACGAAAAGGTCAAGATGTGGCATGTTCAGTCAGTAGTGCCTCTACGCTATGGGGGCAGGCTGACATACCCCCTGTTATTCCTAGACAAATCAGCCAGTGTACTCGATTTAATTTGTTCTGAGCAGTAGCTTGCTCAGTTTTTGGATACCAAATCAACGAGTCGTACCTACGTGATCGTGGGTCTGATTACTGGGGTCGTATTTTCGAATTCATTCGAGAACATTTCGTACACGAAATTTGATTGACAGCAAATTTCGTGTGCGAGAATATTCGAGAATACAACCCCAGGTTTGGTATTTAAAGCTTGTTTTTTTTTTTAAAGATAATAGTCAAAATGACATTATGTTGGCAATACAATGTAAAATTTTCGGGGATAATACCACGAGAGCTTCAAAATTACCGAAAATTTTTCACGATTGCGTGTTTTCTATAATTTCACGAGTCCGTAGGACGAGTGAAATTTGCAGAGAAAACACGCATGAGTGAAAAATTATCCGGTTCATTTTAAAGCTCAAGTGGTATTTAGAGGATTATTTCACGTATGAGAATGCAAAAAATATGCAAATAAATATGTATTAAACGATTTGAACATCTTAACAATCAATACAAATAAATGGTTGCTAGCAGGAACCGTTTGTTTGTATCAAAAATTAGCATAACAACCATGTATACAATAACATGGGAGAATTATCGCTGTAATTCTCTCTAGTTAAACAAATGGAAAAGAGAATTTTTGCTGTTATTCTGAAAATCGTCGCCTGTCTTATGGGATTTCTAACACATGAGTGGAATAATCGGGGATAATACCACGAGAGCTTCAAAATTACCGATAATTTTTCACGATTGCGTTTTTTCTATAATTTGCAGAGAAAACACGCATGAGTGAAAAATTATCTGGTTCATTTTAAAGCTCAAGTGGTATTTAGAGGATTATTTCACGTATGAAAATGCAAAAAATATGAAAATAAATATGTATTAAACGATTTGAACATCTTAACAATCAATACAAATAAATGGTTGCTATCAGGAACTGTTTGTTTGTATCAAAAATTAGCATAACAACCATGTATACAATAACATGGGAGAATTATCGCTGTAATTCTCTCTAGTTAAACAAATAGAAAAGAGAATTTTCGCTGTAATTCTGAAAACCGTCACTTGTCTTATGGGATTTCTAACACATGAGTGGAATAATCAATAAAATTGTCAATGCTTTCAAATTTTTAATGTAGAAAAGGCTTGTATTGCCAACATAGTTACTAAATTTTTGACTTGGGGAATTATCTTTAAAAAAAAACAGACTTTAGGTCCAATTTTTCCACGCGGCATGTCTCAATAACCGCTGTGGGTTTTGAGATTCTCAGGTGGCTGTTCCAGGTTTGTTTGTTCTCCAAGATAACACCTACAAAATATCTAGACGTTTTCATATGATAGAGGGTTTATACTTTTGACATAAGTAATTTGCCTTCCTTTTTAAACAAAAAGAAATTGACTGAAACAAATGAATGACGTCAAAAACGTTCGTCGTTTCCTAAACCAGAAGTCATTGATTTTAAATTTGTCAAAAAAATTGAATGCGTCATATGAATAAATCTACGATATCCCTTTTTTTCAAGTCATGACGTCTGGTCACCTCTTCGATGTCAAAAGTATAAGCCCTCGTGAAACGAACTTTACTTTACTTCAACCGAGAAAGATTGATTACGGTATTTGCATCAACTTTTTTCATCGCTGATTTCATTAGTCTTAGAGCAGGTAAAGGTAAAGAGGAGTAGTAACATGGAGTTGGAAAATGAAGCCGTTTTTTTCCAGGTATTTTGGCACCAAAAAAATAGCGGTATTAGCTTATCCAAAACACGTGACTTTGACAAGCAAACAAAGGGTTTGTGTGCCTCTTGGCGGACATGTTAATTTAAGTTTGACAGCACCTTTGTTAGTTACCTATCCAAAACACATGACTTTGACAAGCAAATAAGGCTTTGTGTGCCTCTTGGCGGACATTTTTATTTAAGTTTGACAACATCTTGGATAGTCTTATAGGCAATTCAATACTTTACCTGTATTTTGGTGCCAAACACCTGCCAAAAACTTGGCTTCACTTTAGTTTCATAAGCAGAATAGCGCGTTCCTACTCCTTATGTCCGTAGGACAGCGCTTTACCTGCTCTAAGTCATTAGTCGATAAAAAATAAGTCAACAAGTGTTTTTTCTTTTTCTTCTTAGTCAAAAATTGATGGAGATTCAACGCTATGAAATTTGCCTATGACGTCACTTATCATATAACTTTCTGACGTCGCACATACTTTTTTTTTTTTCGTAAATGGAACTACCGTGGTTTTGCTGGGATTAATGGATAGTTGTTCTTCTTCCTCGCTGGAGTTTTTGATCATGTTCAAGGCACTTTGCGTTATTATGCCTTTATGCTTTCCTCTTCTGTTGATCCCGCTAATCCAGGAAATTGCGACATAGGTATTCGGTTTCAAACAAATAATTATATTTCTTAGAAAATAGGAAGGTTAATGAATGACCCGATATTCTTGAGGGGATCGAAATTTCGGAATTTTGGAATCAGTTCAGCCTAGAGTCTTGAGTCTTTAGTCTACAGTAATCAAGTAGTCGCGAACAATTAGTTGAGATTAATGAGTCAGTTCGGATAAAATTCAAGATTTTCTTTTGTTTTGTTGCCTCGGGAAAGCGCGCTAAATCGAATCTTTGAAAAAGTAACGGAAAATCGTGAAAGAAAAAACATTTAAGTAAATTCGTTCAACATTATATGACAATATTATAATTATTTAAGAATAGTTTAGTGGTTTAAGGACGGAATGTAAGTACTCTAGTGTCATGTTTTTTTGACTTTATCAATGTTGCAATGACTATGATGTAAATGAATTGACAATGTGACTTATTTTGCAAATGCAAATATGTTATTAACTCGAGTGAACTTTTGAATATTTTTGCTCAGTATAAATAGGAAATTTTAATGACTGTTGAATATGGTGAGCTCTGTCTAATGAAAAGAATTGAATGTAATAAAAATTGAAATAATGATTATAGTAGTTAAATATTTTGGTCTATCTGATTAAAAAGAATTTAAATTAAATTCGTATTGTTGAATTGGTATAGTAGTATTGTTCTGCGTGAGTTTAGATTTTTGGGAGAAAGTTTAACTATTAGAAGTATCTTTCAAAAAGATTTAATTAACATGTTCAATGCTTTGAAATAATATTCACTCTGGCTAAGTTTACGATTTTTGGTAAAAGTTATGTACAAATTTGGCAGTAAGTGAAATCAGGGGCTTTATACGCTTATAGAACTGGAAGTTTTAATAATTAAACTATGTGATGAGTAATGATTATTGTTTTGATCAGTAAAGGAATTTTGGTTAAAAATATTGTAACCTAATGTAGTAGGTAGGTAGGTAATAAAAGAATTATTTATGTTTCCAATTGTTAGGAATAGTACAAGGCTTTGATTGTGACATTTCATAACAACTCATGCAGAGATAGTATAGAGGTGGCTGTAAAGTTAGAATCATTTTAGAATTTGTTTTGCTTTTGTATTAGAAATGTTTTGGTTAGGGTCTGAAATTAAGGAACCATGGTAATTTGGAAAAATCTCTGTTTATTTTCTCGAATAAAGTATATTTATTATTGGAAAACCGTACTGCGGTTGTTTCTTTGACTTGCAAATAGACCCGCCCCCACAATTTTATTTTAAAGTAGCTGCCCAAGGAAATAATTACCATCAAATACAACCGCTCGCAATTTACCATCTAACCTAAGCAAAAGAGTACTTGGCGCGGATGCTACATTGGTGTCAGATGTGGGGTGTATTATTTGTACATTGAGAGCAACTGTGAGGGTATTTTAATTGTATTTTGAGAGCATCGGTAGTGTTAAAAATATTTTGTGAACTTAGAGCAACTGAAAATCGTATTAGCTAAATTTAAGTTGAGAACAACCGAGCGACGTAAAAGGTGTACAACCCTCCGAGCCCATTACCGCTTACCGCAATTCAGAGCCACTATGCCTAACCTTTTTGTAGGATTAGTTTCCATACTTACCTATAATGGGATTACTAGTGTAGAAGAATTTTTGAATATTCTAGAGGAAACCAATATTCTAGCTAGTTGACTGGATAGATACACAGAAGATTTCAGTAACCAGAATAAAACTCAGATATCGAGCCAAACAATTTATCGAAGGCGAGCCAACCCTCAAAACCACAACCAGCTTGACTCTACTCAAAGACAGTTTGAAAAAGCAATTTGGTAGGCAATATGTGAAAGTTGTAGTGTAGTAAGGATTAGGGTTAATGATAAGTCGTACTACTAGCCTTAATAGATTCTGGAGCTGTATAGTATCCCTAGTTAAGTCCGAGATTGTCATGGGGTTCAACAAAGAAAAATGTGATGTAAATTTGGTAATTATTCAGGACAATGAAATTCCTGTAGAAGGTGTGCCAAAAATAACTGTGATGTTCGACGGAGACATCGTTGTGAGACACAATTTTATTGTGGTTAATACAGATTCTTTAAGGGCAGATTTACTATTAAAAATAGATATTCTGCGCCAATATGGTATTAAAGCAGATTGGCAGAATAATTGTATGTACGCTTTTGAGAAGAAAATCCAAATGTATTATGAAAATTTTGATATTGATTATGCGATACAGAAAGTAGAAAAACAGTTGATGACCAAAGTTAGGAACTTAAAAATGGAGCTTGACGACCTGAAAAATTTGGAGAGGAATTGAAGTGAAAAATGATCTAGGAGAAGTTGAAGCAGAAATTGAAAAAGATAAAACATTGATGAGCAGGACAGATTTTATGATGAAAAATCTTACGTTAGTACCAGTAACGGAGGATCGTAGTTTAGTACCGGCTGGTATTCGCTCGACAACTACAACCAACCCAAAACTTGGCAGATCAACAGACAGCAGTCTGACATCATCAGTTAGGAAACCGGCCAGTTCCAGTGAAATCCATAGAGCATATTCCACTTGGCTAAACACATTAAACAATGTGATGAAGTTTTAACAGGCTTGCCAGTAGCACCACTTTTGGAGAGGAAGAACAGTGAACTTCCAGGGAAATTCTGAAGGAATTAGAAAGAAAATCTAATGAAGGTCCAGTATGGTCCAGTCCACATGGAATTCAGAAACCAAGATGTTTTCTGGTGACTCTGACAGAGGAGGTGATATTACCGCCAATGAGTCAAGTAGTGTGTCAAGCAACTCTACGCAGAGCTTCAAGGGTTAAGCCTCAGCACATAGTTATCGAATAATGTGAAGAAGCTTTGTCAGGATTGCTAGTGGCACGTGTTTTGTGTAAGAAGGACAGTAGTCCCAGTGAGGTTATTGAATATACCAGAGAGAAAATTAACTCTAAAGAGTAGATCTGTAATTGCTAGAGCATACGACGTGCAAATTGAGAGTGCCAATTAGGAAAAGGAAACTATTCAAATAAGAAGTATTGAAGAATCCACATACTAGAGAAGAGCAAAGACTTAAGCAGCTTGTTCTTGAGTTCATTGACTTATTTAAACTAACCCAAACCAAGTTGTACAACAGAGGTCGCACAGAGAATTATTACGGAGGATGTGCAGCCTATTGGTCTCTTTATTATTATAAAGAGACCTTATAGAGTACCGTATCATCGACAGGAGGTAATGAAGCAAGAAATCCAGAAATTACTTGATGACGGAGTTATCGTGGAAAGTGAGTCACCATGAAGTTTTCCTACAATCCTTATAGAAAAGAAGAAACACCCTGGAGAGGACATCCAGTATAGGCTTGTCACAGATTATCGGGAATTGAATACCATAACAAAAACTGACTATTTCCCACTACCCAATATACAAGAGAATATCGAAAAATTAGCGGGTTCTCACCAATCTGCCACTCTACCATGGATTTGGCATCTGGTTATTTTCAAGTGCCCATACAACCACAGGACCAGGGGGTCAATTCTTGAATATTCTCGTATATGTAAGTTGATACGTATTCGAATGACAGCAACGTAAACTAAATAGAAGTATTCGAAATCATATCAATATTCGTATGCGAGATAATTAAAGAATTGGGGGCCAGGAGAAAGCAGCATTTTTAACTCCTGATAACCATTACCAATTTTTGAGGATGGCAATGGATTTAAAGCACCGGCTACTTGGAGCCGTATGCTGAATTACAGACTATGAAAATTGACGTAAACCGAGTGTCTTGTATAGCTAGACGACATAATTGTATTTTCCAAAGACGTAGACTCGCATCTAGAACGATTGAGGCACATTTTTGAAAAATTACGTGGAAGTATTTTAAAGTTGAAACGAATGAAATGTCACTTTATGAAGAAAGAAATTGAGTAGCTATATATTGGGCATCTCAAATGCGAAGGTGTATTTATAACCCACTCCGATAAAACCAGAATAAAAGAGAATTATCCGGTACCCAAGAATTTCAGAGAGATAAGAGCTTTTCTTGGACTATGCGGATTTTATAGGAAGTTTGTTCCTAATTTTGCGAAGATTAGTCAGATTTTAACCTATTTAACCAAGAAAAATATCAAATATCATTGGGGACCAGAAAAAGAAAGTGCTTTCGAGAACTTGAAGAAATTACTTATAACACCTCTTATTTTTAAGTATCCAGATTTCCGCAAACAGTTCATGGTCAATACGGATGCTAGTGCGACCGCAATTGCAGCTATTTTAACCCAAGAATATGAAGGGAAAGAACATCCTATATGCTATACAAGTAGAACACTGAATGATGCCGCACGCCGATATAGCACCAGAAAGAAAATGTTTAGCTATAGTTTTTGCCGTAAAGGCTTACAGAAACTATTTAACCGGAACTCATTTCGTTATTGTGACAGATCATAGGCCCCTAAAGTATTTATTAACAATTAAATACGCAAGCTCAAGATTAGCCAAGTGGGCTATGGTTCTTATGGAATATAGTTTTACGATTCAATACAGAAAAGGAAATCTAAACAGCAATGTAGATGCATTAACTCGGTTACGTGAAGAAAATTACGAAAATGAAGAAAGGGAACCACCCGTGATAGCTGTCATTACTAGAGGACAAGAGCTGAGACCTGTAACATCTGCCATTTGGACAAAAGTAGAAATACAGAAATTACAACAGGAGGACGAGTGGATAGACCGAATAAAGGAAAATTGCCCATATTTTATTGACGAAGGTATTATTTATTAACAGAAAGAAGAGTGGCAGTGAACTGACAGAATACTACCCATATAGACTGTATGGGTATAACTCGTGTCGTGGAACATACGTCACCCCGTCTCCCTCTCTTCACTGCATTGATGCTATTGAGTACGACGGAGGGCATGGTGGAACCCTAATTTCTATTTTCCCAGGTATGCTGAACTTCCCTTAGCAGTTCCTAGATTATTTCCAATAACTGTTCGACCGTTTTATTCTATGGACCGAATCTTGAGTAGACCAATACATAATACAATTTAAGTAGGTAGTTGATCAATGTATTCTACTTTACATAGGGGTACCTACGTAACATCCACAGGAAAGCTAATTTCTCGATATTTGGACCGTGTGAGTTGAAAATAATTTTAATATTTTACAGTTCAAGTGAATTTGAGCTTCAAAAATTTAACACCGCATGCTCAGGTTGAAAACTTGAAACTTATTAGAATAAGCCCGAAATTGTAATTGAACTTTGGACACAGTCTCTCAGCCCCGATCGTGATTCCTCACGTTGTCTGATGAGCCAAATGGGAAAATAATTTAATAATTTATTGTAAATTTCAATAGCATGTATTTTCTTTCAATTAGCATCTCTACATAGAAGCTTTAGAACTAGATAACTACCTACTTAATAAACCACTTTAACATTAAAAATAAATCTAAGAAGAAACAGGAGGTTGTGCATCATAATTAATTGTATGCATATAGATATCTACATAAGTAGCAACTTCTAAAGGCATAGGTATAGTTTGACGCACAAAGGTTGTTGAGGGTTGAGGTAAAGTATGTGAACAAATGGTTCACCTGAAAAACCTTTCGTACGTATCTACCTATAAAGATACACTACAAAAGAAGATCAATATATCAAATATGTACCTACTTATTGATATTAAATAGTAATGCATTACATATACATAATTCTCTAGCTCTAGTAGGCGACACGGCATTAAAATGTGCAACGAATACACATGTAAGAATCAGTGATTGAATCAAATAACCAAATAATTATCTGTTCACAATCCGATGTCAGCACAAAAGGTTTTTTTTTTGACTTTGACGTTGCAGCAACCTTTTTGAAGAAATGTTAACGATAAGGTGCGTAGCAAAGGGTTAGTAGGTACTCGCTCGATACTTAATTAAAATTAAGCTGATTCGGTATAGTACATAGTATGGTATGGTACATAAGTTACATTTATCGTTAAATGGTCAACGATGCTTCCTTCATACGGTTGGTGCAAATGTGCAAATAATAACCCTAAAACTGAAGGTTAGCATCATCAGGTATAAATCAAATCAACCAACTTATGCAGGTGATTAAAAACAGAATCCCTATCAACTGAAGGAAGAGAAATCTTACCATTTCTGACTTCGGATTGTGAATGATAGTAGATAAATATTTCGACCGTTGTTAACTATTTCATTTCCTTGACATCATTGTTATATATGAATACGTCGCTTTGACAATCTGCAAAAAACAAAAAGCAAACATCGTTTACTGTGGAGGTCAACTATGCCATTTTGCCGAACTCACAAGTATAAGTTGCTGGTAATTAAAAATTCCCGTAGGACTCGATTGGAGATAAAGTGGCTTTTGACAACGCATTAAAACTATGTTTAGATCTTTAGCTAAATTTAAATCATCATCCCATTTTGATTCGTTGATGGAATCTTGGATATTGTAAGTCTAAAATATATGCAGATTAATAATAATTGTTGTTGTAGAAGATGCAAAATTAGTTATTTATGTATTTAGTTCACGAATTAATACACATTTTGGGCAATAAACTTACTTCGTCTTGCATTTCCTGTCCAATAAGGCAAGTTAAAAGAACTAACAGAAAGAATCCCAGTAAATGAAGAACTGCACCGAAAGAAAAAGTCTAGAAAATATAAAGGTAAAAATATATAGCCTCAACATGTAGGTATAAAAAGAACAGAATTTGAGACATAAAGTACAAAGTAGGTATACCTCAACTATTTGAGTAGCTATAAAACCCATTGAAATTGCCGCTACAAATGACATTTGGCCTAATACTTTCCTGTTAAGTTCATTTAATTTATTGGCCATTCTATAAAATAAATAAATTACTATAAGAAAATAAACTTTTGAATAGATGTATTAAACCCAATCACTATTACGCTATCACGTACCCTATAATTTCTTGGTGGTAACGAATGCAATATATTAAACGTTGTTTTCGCAAAATTGGATCGTCAGTATCAAATACTTTTCGAAAAAGATCTTTCAGCTGATGAATTTTGCAAATAAGAAGATGTGTAGCGTCCCATAAAGTCATTGTTATCATAGCTGCACATGGTGGAGTACATTCTGGAAAAATTGAATATCTAAAATAATGATTTTTTTCTGTGACGGAAAAAAAGTAGAGTTTTTGTACCTGTTGACAGGGGCAAAAAGCGATTTTTTTTTTCCCACGGGAAAAAAGTAACAAGTACCAGTCAATGTTTTTTTCCCGAGGGAAAAAAGTAACAGGTACCAGTCAAATTTTTTTTCTGAAAGGGAATAATGTATAGATGAAAAATGTTGAGATTTTCCCGTCACAGAAAAAAATTGTGTATTATACATGGGAAAAAAGTAAGATTTTAGCGCTCGCTGTGTTTTCTCCCTCCGCTTCGCGTCGGGAGACAAACCACACCTCGCGCTAAAATCTATTACTTTTTTTCCCTTGTATAATAAATAACTATTATTTCAAAATATACCAGTAGTTACCTATGGCTATTATCTGGGAAGTAATAATTACTATGCACCAAAACATACTGATCTCTTGGTGAGGCCACCCTATTGGTGCCGGGGTGCCACATATTTCATAGACTTCATTTTTAATATTTCGAGCATGACAATTTCCTAAAAAATAATGTTACGAAATTATTACTGTCGGAGAAGCCGACGCCGTTGTGACTGTTTTCATACAGGGTAGAGTAAAAATCGAACGAGAAGAAGCCACACGTGTTATCGTTTGTCACACTTTAAATGGGAGGGACTCAGAGAAAAGGAAATCTGCCTTCTTTCTCAGCGCTGACGTCAATGGCTTCTTCTCGTTTGATTTTTACTCTAACCCACGACGTTTTTCCCAGGTGATAACTTCGGAACGCGTCATCCAATATAATTGAAATTTTGAAGATCTAGATAACTTTTTGTGCTGCTTCTACTATTGTCATCCAATTTCACCACTTTGGCATCAATTTCGGTCAAGAGACGTCAACTTACGAATCTTAAATGTACCTCATGGTATATTATGGCATTTTTCGTTAGAAAATTAAATTACAAAATCGGCAATGCCATATTTGTTAAGGCTTTGCTAAAGAAAATAATAAAAAATTATACAGTGGAGCATACGATGATGCGTTCCGAAGATATCATTTGGGAAAAACCCTGTGGGAAACCCTGTATATTATTTATAAAGCGCTTAGTTTGTTGGTCAGGAGTCTGAATTAGAGAATTATCAATGTATGAAATTAAGGAAAACCTATAGGTGTTACCTAAGTGAATTTTGTAATGTCAATTTAGTTCAATTAAAGTTAATGTTGTCAGTAAATAAAGTTGAAAACTCGCGGAATCCCTGACAATTTAGTGTCAGAAGTGCAAGATAAATAGTGTAATAATTTGAACTACATGTGTAATAATTGGCGAGATAACTGGTGTAGCGAGAAAATTAATACATTCCATCGTGTTCTATTTGAAAATTTTTGGCTTCGTTACAAGACTATATTTGAAATCAAATTTTAAGAAAGATACAGATTATTCTTTGGAGCACAACAACAAACAGCCGAAATGGGGCAAGTCAATCACATGTTGTAGGACTCTCGAAGACGAGATATAACAAGAGGAAGAACAGGACCGGCTTGCAGCACTTATACAACAACACATAGATGGATCAGAGATAAAAAGAAAAACATGGAAAAAGGCACCGCGAAGACATCAGAAAGCAAAACAAGAAAGAACAGGACCTGCTTCAGGAAAATTTCAAATGCCAGCGAGAATAGATTTAACCAGTTTTCTCTTAGAAACATAACAGACTCGAGAAAATCCTGGAAAAACAGGATAATAAATTCAAGAACGCAATGGTATAAGTACCTACTTAAAGAAGTTGTTAATGTTCATAAGGAAGTTCGAACTGTTCGTCACGTAGTTGGGACTTCCCACCAATAAATGTATAGTATTCAGAACAAAATTAAAAGCTGGAATGTTAATTCTTCTTCTTCAAGTGCTTTATTCTCTACGAACGTTGGCAATCACCAGCGTTATCCGTACTTTGTCGACTGCTTTTGTCTACGCCTCAATCCCATAATAGAGAATACTGAAGACGTAGCAACGTAGTACTCGAGTGCAAACAGAGAGCGAGATACCTCGACTACGCAACGCGGACTTCATTTTTACGAATGATGCTATCGCTTGTTCAATCCTAGCACGAAGCTCCTGGATATTATCCCAGTTCCCAGTCTTCATTAACCTGACATCCTAGGTATCTATATGATTGGACCAGATCGATCTGTTCGTTCTGTACGTGAAGAATACCTCCTCCAACCTGGTTCTTACTTATCACTATCCATTTAGTTTTTTTTTGGCATTCAATTTCAAGCGAAATTCTTTACTTTCAGTATCCAAATGATCAAGTAATACTTTAAGACCTTCCAGAGAATCAGCGGTTAAAACCATATTGTCCGCATAGGTACCGAAGATTTTTAATGTTCACGCCCTTGTAAGAAATTCCCTCAGTGCAGTTTTCTAATACTTTTTCAAATATTTTGTTCGAATAAATATTAGAAGGTAATGGTGAAAGAATGCAACCCTGCTGGACACCTCTTTTCATCCGTACTTCGTCAGACTTTTGTTGGTCTACCCTGATTTGTGGTGGACTCCTCTATAGATAGGCTGACACAACAATTTAGTTTAATATTTTTATAATATTTTACTGTTTTTTACTCAATAAGCTAGTAAGTTTTTAGAAATAAGCTAGAATGCTGCATAGTTCAAGTTGCAAGGTTTAAGATAATATTGGCCAGCTTCAAGAATTCACTCAAAATGTTTTTCGTGGAACGCATGTGAAAATGGGTTTTTGGTTTTCTGTCAAACCCAATGAAATTTTGATATGTGTTAGACCTTGACTTCCTGATAAAAAGTTCTCATGGGCCCGAACCAATCCTATGATTAGTTTTTGAGATACAGGTGCTTTTATGTCCAAGAAATGTATACATTTTATATGTATTCACAATCTACCTGTCACCTAATACTATATAGGTCTGTTTCTGCAAAAATCACAAACTTGTCAGAGCGAATTTGATTGGTCGAAAACAGTCAGAAACAGTCAGAAAACTAGTCACAACCAATGAAATTCACTCTGACAGACCTAATAATTGGTGACAGGTAGATGTGAATGCATATAAAATTTGTACATTTGTTGAACATTAAACCACCTGTATTTCGGAAACTAATCATAGCATCTGGTTGGGCCCATGAGAACTTTTTATCAGTAAGTCAAGATATACCACATATCAAAATTTCATTGAGTTTGACAGAAAACCAAAAACCCATAAGATGTGTGCGGGGTCCTTTGTGAAAAATTTACATGATGATAATTGATAATGATACTTCATACTCCCTCGACGACGATCTTACCCCACGGATTTGTCTTCTGGGGTACTCCAGAAGCGAGAACGATTATTTAATGCTGTCAATGAATAAACAATGTATACTTATTTATGAGGGTTTATTGCCTATATACCAAATTAATTTAAAAATGTATGAAGTCGCCATCACAGTACTCGCTAAGCGTGTATGCAAACGTTTAAACGTCCAATTTGGCTTAGTAAATACAAAAAATTATTGTTGACATAATTGCAGGAAAATTAAGGGTTTAGAGCTTAAAAAATTTACATTGAAGAGGATTTTATTATACATATAAATACTCCTCGGTAATTGCATTAGGCCTTATGCATTCCACTAAAATCCCACACACTGTAATTATATCACAGACGATAAAACTTGTAAAAAAACTTTTAATAGTTGTTCGTTGGTAGACCTACCTCACAAGATGAAGAAATCGGTAAAAACATACGAATTTCTGATTGACAATCCTAAAATTTTCTTTGCAGGATCCACTCGAAAATCAATTTTTCGGCAGTTTTATGATGAAGTCGGCGTACTACTTTTGCCTGTTGCCTGACGTTCTGGACTTTCAAACTGAATTTAATCGAATCTTCTACATTTATTGTGGTAAATTGGTCTACGGTATTGTCATTTTCGTGGTCTTCAGTCAGGTGTTTAAGCTGTATCAGATTTGCAACGACGACCCGCTTATTATTGACGAAGTCTTAAGAAATATGAATGTCACGCTTTACTTTGCTAATACTATTTTCCGTGGTATTTTTTTGAAAGGTGGCTCCTGAAAATTTTCGATTCCTAGAATACTTTGGACTTTTCCTTTTAGGCAAACTCAGCGGCAAAATCTTCAAAAAAGTTTTCGAATTCGAAGACTTTATTTATTCCACTGGCGACCGTACAGTTCAAACCGCCTACGAAACATCTCTGATTCTAGTCCAAAGAATTAAGTACTGCTACTTTATAATTGCGATGATTATGATGGTCGGCTACGTTCCAGCACCATTGTTCAGGGATCCTTACTACGTGACTATAGGTAACGAGACAGTAGCCGTCACCCAAACGCCCATATCTATATGGATACCATTCGACAACTCCTATTTTCTTTCTTACGTGTACTCCACTTCATTCGGATCTTTTTCGACTTACATTATGGTTACAACAGACCTGGTTTGCTATTGGTGAGTAATTGGGATTTCTGAGGCTGATTTAAGACAATCAAATTGCATGCAGCTTTATTCTTTTTGGAGTTTGTCAAATGGACGTGATGCGTCACTACATGAGTAATTTCCAAAGATATGCTACTGAGCATGCAGCTACGTATAGAACGACTATGGAGGACTCTTACAGGAAGATGCAACATGAAAACGTGCAGAGGCATAAAGATATTGTTTGGTGGGTATTTAAAAATTCTCAAGCATTCTAATTTAAAGTTTAAGTATCAATTTGAAGTTGTATTAACTTCGTAGCACGCGAATTGTCACAGCTGTATTCAACTAGTCATTATTACATATTCATATAATCATAGTTTTATTGACAACGTCTTTGCTACTTCAATAGACGACTGAAATCTGAACACTTTAATTCGTAGTCGGTTAAACGTCGTCAGAACGCTACTGCCTTTAAACACAGCTCTAAGTCCGACGATACATTTTCTGGTGCCTTACTCGCAAAATTGCT